GCAGTTTTAAGATACTCTTTCTTCTTTTTGTCAGGCATAAATCTGAGTAAAGAAAAATAAAGGAGGCAGAAATTCAAAAAATAGTATGGAAAGTGACAAGATGTTGACAGAGTGAAGATGCTGGCCTCACGTCATCCCTATACTCAGAGCTAGAGCAGCAGAACAAGGCCAGTAAGTCCTGATGGGAAAGCAAGTAATGACTGCACACATTAGGAGCAACATCTGGGGGAGAGGGCTGCAAGCCCTGGGATGGGCTCAGGTAGATCCAGTGGTGAGATCCAGTGGTCCGGCCGGCCCCACCAGCAGCAGAGCAGACCTGGACACCTGGGATAGGACCTGGAAGCTCTCCAGAACTTTGATTCTCTGGCAAGCAGTGGAGCAGACCCTGTAAAGGGTACATGCAAGGACATATCCTAGCAGAGGCAATCGCAGGCCTGGTCTCTGTTGACTCCAGTAATATTTACTCAAGCAAATCTGCTTGAGCTGGATAAGCATAGTGGGGATCTGGAACATTTGAATCATGACCTATTCCTGCCCTCCCTTCTTCCAGTTCAGCAAAAAAAGAAAATTCACTCTGGACAGATGCAGCCAAGTTCATAGGGCTCCCATTGCTGTTAGCTGCCACACAAGGGGCAGGTTGCTAGTATTTACCAAATACCCAAGCTACATTTGGCAGAGGCCAAATTCCAGGTGACTGCATGAAAAGTCACAGACCATATTCATAGGCCAGAGACTGGTAGGCTGAAAAGACAGGAGCCTAACTGGTTGCACCCCAGCTCAATTGTAGGGTGGAGGTTCCAACGCCACTTATACCCTGCACCACCCACTCCCGCCCAAGGAAGTGTGCCATACCTGGAGAGGTTTCTATTCAGTTCCATGTCACAGATATTTTCTTGAGAAAAAGGCATAGAGAGCTCTCGAACTCTCCCAATGAACTTGATTTGAAACCGTGGGTAGTAAAGATTAAGCCTATAGGTGCTCTTAACAATGGAGGTGTATGTTGGAGCAACGGTGACAAGCCAAAAACTTGACCAGCAAGTTTGCTGGAGAGAAATAGATAAAAATAATCCTCAAATACTGTCTCAGGAACTGCCTCTGAAATGAGGCCCAAATTTAACTGTGTTAAACTGTGGAGAAATATACACCACAGGGCTCTGTAAAGGGCCAGCCAGAAATGAAAGGAGTCCAACATCTGAGTGACTAGGGAAAGTGACAATCAAACAGAGCCCTAATAAGCGCCCAGTGGCTGCTCAAGGATGTGCCCTTTCCGGAGCAACATCAGAAGCTTCACACTAAAATAGTATCACCAGTAACAAAGCAAAGAAATGGTGGATGAACAAATAGTAACAACAACCAAGGGGTGGGAGAATCCTGTCTGGAGTTACTATAATATATGATCTAAAATTTATTTATTTTTAAAGATTTATTTATTTATGCATACAAGAACTGGGGTACAGACCAGAGGTGGGGGGGGGGGCTGGTGAGAGGATTCACCAGAGACAGAGTGAGGAACAGAACAGGTAGACTGACTGAAATACACTGCCGAGGGGAGTAGCAGGCAAGGTCTGCTGCTCCATGTGGGTAGCTCCCTGGCCGGAATTGAACTCGTGCTACAGTGGCTGCAGACAGCTTTATAGATTGCGGCTTAACCCCTTGCACCACCAGGGAGGCCCCGGTTACCTATTATTAACCAAGTCTTTACTTATATTCTCAAATCCTCTTTCCTTTATTTATTTAGCGATTTCTAGATTCTCCTGGAGATAGGATCACAGGTTAGTTTCCCTCCTATCACTTCCCTGAGGAGTGAGATATGGGCTTGAATGCAAGGGCAGATTTTTTTAGGAAAAGGAAAAAGAAAATGAGAGGTACCTGTATAGTTACAGGTGGGCAAGAGAGCTGCTGCTGCTGCTGCTGCTTTGCAAAGGGAAAACATTTATGAAAAGAAACACCTGCATAGTCACAGGTGGGCAGGAATGCTGGGGGAAAATATATATACATATTTTAAAGAGAGTTTCTTTTTTTTTTTTTAAGATTTATTTATTTTTATACAAGAACTGGGGTACAGGCCAGATGTGCGGGAGGGTGAGAGGATTCACCGGAGAAGAGTGGGGAACAGAACAGGCAGACTGAAGAAATACACCGCTGAGGGGAGCAGCAGCGAGACAGGACAGGTTTGCTTTGCCATGTGGGGTTCTTGCCAGCTGGCTGGGATCGAACCTGTGCTGCAGAGGCTGTGGACAGCTTCACAGTGCGGCGCTCAACCACTTGCGCCACCGGGGAGGCCCTGGGGGAAAATATTTTTTTAACATGTAAAGAATTTGGAAGTATTATCCCAGGTACACAAAACAGAACATCATGCACTAAGTCTCAAGGTTAAAAGTTATTGGCTTATGGGGGCCTCCCTGGTGGTGCAAGGGGTTGAGCGCAGCACTGCGAAGCTGTCAGCAGCCTCTGCAGTGCTGGCTCGATCCCCAGCCAGCCATGGAGATTCCCACATGGCACAGCAGACCTCTCCTGACTTGCCCACTGCTCTCCTCAGCGGTGTATTTCAGTCGGTCGGTCTGCCTGTTCTGCTCCCCACTCTGTCTCTGGTGAATCCTCTCACCCCCCACACCTCTGGCCTGTACCCCAGTTCTTGTATGCATAAATAAGTAAATCATAAAAAAAAAGTTGATGACTTATGTAAGCTGGATTAAATTACTTTTTAAGGTCCACAAAGTCTTTTGAAATCTTATAAAAGTGCACAAAAAAGGTGTGATTGAGGAAAGAAAATTTTATGTGTTTTAAGACTGAAAGCTACTTTGAGCCATTCTCTCTGTAAAAGTAGATATTACGTCTTAAGTCGACTGCAGAAAATGATATGGGATAAAGGGAAGAAAAGCAGATTAATAATGAGTCAAGTGAAGGAAGGAAGAGAGTAATTAGAAATGTATTTTATATGAACTCAGATGATTAAAGAAATGATAGTCCAATATTTGTAATTCGAGACAGTTGCACAGTGAAGAGCACGGACATGCTAACATTACAAGTGCATTTTTAGTTTTCAGTTTAGTACAAGGGTTATTGCAATAGCATGTATTTTCATATTAAGAGATATATGCAGGCACATACAGGTCACTACTGGAAAAGAAAAAAAAAAACTAGATTTTTTTTTTTAATATTTATACATACAAGAATTGGGGTACAAGGCAGAGATGCAGGGGGTGAGAGGATTTACCAGAGACAGAATGGGGAACAGAACAGCCAGACGCACTGACCCAAACACACTGCTGAGGGGAGCAGCAGGCCAGACAGGAGAGGTCTGCTGCACCAAGTGGGTATCTCCCTGCCCAGCAGGGGATTGAATTCCTGCTGCAGCGGCTGAGGATAGCCTCATAGTGCTGTGCTTAACTCGTTGTGCCACCAGGGAGGCCCAGAAAAACTAGGTCTTGAGATGGAAATCTTTTCCTTTTTTTTTTTTTAACAGATGGCGGAAGCAAGTACCAGTTATCTTGGTCTCAGTCCTTCCACTACCACCACTGAATATCTCCCGTGGGAGTCCCAGTTATACTACCACAGCTGTGGGTGAAGAGGCAGTATTTAAGTGTGTGACCATAATGTAAAATGGGGGTGGATGAGGAGGGAGGACACCACTGGTCTGGGCAAACAATAAACTGTTTGACAGGTTCCATATCGCATGAAGAAATCTCGTACCTAAAAAAGAAAAGGTGTAACAAAGTGCACCAGCCTTTGCATCTCTGCAAGGCATTCTTTTTTTAATAGAGGCATGTTTTATTTATTTATTTATTTATTTATTTATTTATACAAGCATTGGGTACAGTCAGAAGTGTGGGAGGGTGAGGGAATTCACCAGAGCCAGAGCGGGCAGCAAAGCAGGCAGAAGGACCGAAGGACACTGCTGAGGGGAGCAGCGGGCGGCAGGAGAGGTCTGGGAGCCATGCGGAACCCTCCTCCGGTGGCCGGGGAGCAGCCGGGGATCGAACCTGCGCCCCAGAGGCCGTGGGCAGCTTCGCAACCCAGCGCTCAACCTCTGAGCCACCGGGGAGGCCCTGCAAGGCATTCTTAAGAAACTTAGATTAAATCCTGCATCACCTTATCTTTAGATCCGGACAATATACAACAGAACTCAAGGTCCTTCCTGTGAATAATCACATTCATAAAGTCAAGGACCTACTGTTTCTACCTATGTAAATTAAATTCAAACTTAAGTTTAGTAGGACCAGTTTACACAGAATAACAGCCATGTGGGCTGAACTCTTCACTCTCCTCGAGATATCACTTTTCAGTCAACCCTCCTCTTTCACAAAACCAACAAAACCGGATCCCAATTTCCTAAAAGGAAAAAAAAAAAAAAACTAACACAAAACACCTTTCTTTTCAGCGGGCTTTCAGAGCACGTCCTGTCTGCACAATACAATAGATATAGAGGGCATTTTAGGCTCATCCAGCTTTATAAGGACTAGGTCACATGAAGGTCATACGGTTCCTTAAGAGACCAAAAAAAAAAAAAACCTGACAAAATCCTTTCTGATCAATAACGTAGGAAAAAAGTGTTTAAGGGAGCGTCTGCGAAATTGACTTAAACTGACTTTTCCTCATCCATTCGAGCTTTTTCCGTGGGACTCTGCTAGCAAGCAGGGTCTGGCGGCCCCTGCTCCAGCCCTAACCTTGAGAGGCAAAACCAAGAGACGCCGGGCACCTTCACCCGGCGCCCGCGCCCCGCGGCCCCCCGACTCCAGGGAGGGCACAGACCCCCGGATCGGGGGCGCCGCGCGCTGGGCCGCGGGGGCGGGATTTCCGGGGCTTGGGGTGCCGGCCCGGGGCGGCGCGCGGGGGCGCGTGACCCGGACGGGGAGAAGCGGGAGAGGCCGAGAAGGAGAGGGCGGGTGCAAGCCAGCGGAAGTGGGGAGCGGGGAAGCAGAAGAGGGGCGCGGGGAAGCGGAAGGGGGCGTGGAAAGGGGGAGAAAGCCACGGGGGAGCGGAAGGGGAAGTCGCCTCCGCGGAGCGCGGTCGCCCCTAGAGCCGCGGCAGCTGTCACCTGGGCGCACCCCCCGGCGACTGCTGAGCGCCGAACGCGGGTGCTTCTCGGCTCGAATTGCAGAGCGTGTCCCCGCGAGCCGCTGCGAAGCCTGCTGCCCCCTGCTGGGCACGGGGCGAAGTGCCGAGCGCGGGACCGACCTGGCCTGGAGAAGCAGGTGGCGAGCTCGAGGGGACGCAGCCGCAGCGGGAGGTTGCAGGGCAGTAGGGCTGCGTGCTTTCAGCGCACTCACATTCTGAGTAGTTCCCGGCGCTGTGCTAAGTAAGTATTGCTTCCTGGAACTTACATAACAGTCCTCAGGTAATTAGCTAAGTTAAAACTTAGTTCTCTGTTTCTTGCAGACAACTTGAAACAGACAAGTTCTCAACCAAAAGCGACCTATTTTATTTTTGGTAAGGGTTCTTTCATTCTAGATTTCTTTTGACCCTTTTAAAACTGTAGGGGTCTCCCTGGTGGCGCAAGGGGTTAAGCACCGTATTATGAAGCAAGCCGCAGCCTCTGCAGCACGAGTTCGATTCCCGGCCAGGGAGTACCCACATGGTGCAGCAGACCTCTCCTGTCTCTCCCGCTGCCCCCCTCAGCAGTGTATTTCAGTCATCATGCCTGTTCTGTTCCCCAGTCTGTCTCTGGTGAATTCTCGCACCCTCCACGCCTCTGGCCTGTACCCCAGCCCATGTATAGATAAATAATTTTTAAAATTATTCCATTTATTTATGCATACAAGAGCGGAGGTACAGGCCAGAGGTGTGAGGTGAGAGGATTCACCAGAGACAGACTGGGGAGCAGAACAGGCAGATCTACTGAAATACACTGCTGAGGGGAGCAGTGGGCGAGTCAGGAGAGCTCTGCTGCGCCATGTGGGTTGCTCCCTGGCTGGGGGATTGAACTCGTGCTGTAGAGGCTGCCGACAGCCCTTGCGCCACCAGGGAGGCCCCTAAATAAATAACTCTTAAACAAAACAAAACAAAATTGTACACACAAATGTCACAAGTATAAGGAACTAAAACCAGTAAAAAATTACTTAGGTCTTGGGCCTCCCTGGTGGCGCAGGCTGTTGAGCGCCGCCCTGTGAAGCTGTCCTCAGCCTCTGCAGCGTGGGTTCGATGCCAGCCAGCTGGCGAGAATCCCACATGGTGCAGCAGACTTCTGTCTCGCCAGCTGCTCCCCTCAGCAGTGTATTTCGTCAGTCTGCCTAGTCTGTACCCCACTCTGTCTCTGATGAATCCTCTCATCCCCCACACCTCTGGCCTGTACCTCAGTTCATGTATGCACAAATAAATCTTTAAAAAAAAAAAGTTACTTAGGTCTTGAAAAGACCAATGAGGACTTTGTGATGAAAGTCTGAGTCGACTTCCCCAGCCCTCTTCCCCCATTCCCACAGGTGAGAAACGGTTATACCTCAACTATTGGGTGCTGCTGCTGTGCATGTAGCAGGTAAAGTGGACTTGAGCTGAAATGGAAACCCTAGCTCGCTCTAGGAGAAAAAGCTTGGGGGGTGGAGAAGAAGACGTGGAGGAGGTATAATTGTGACATCTAGTGGGCGGGAGGTAGGAGTATAAAAATGAACCGGCCCGATCCTTGACATTTTACTGAGACTGGCCTGAAAGACAAGTGGAGTGCAATCGACTGGGGCGCAGTAGTGATCAGCATTCGTGCAAAAAGAACTAGCTTTCAAAGAGGAGTGGGGTTGAAACGAGGTGCGTGTTGGGAATAATGAACAGGAGAGAGAGAGTTCTTTTGTGGGCCTGGTATGCAGTGATGTATGTAGTTCCCTGCCTGGAAACTACAAATGCCCTCCTGCAGCTAATTCAGTTGGAAGATTTGGTTAAAAGTGATTTCAGGAAGGTGTGGATGAAAAGTTAATAAGGGGTATAAATGTTGTGACAGCAGAGTGTTTTCTGTAGTCCAGCATGTGAGAGGAGATGACTTGGAGTTATTGGAGGAAAGAAGTTTACGGGTAGAGAGAGGGATCACACATAGGGGCTTGGAATGAGGGGAAAATCTGAAGGATTCCAGGAACTAAAAGAAGTTCATTTTGATGGTGTGAGGGGGAGGGATGTGTGACATGTAATGAAATTTAAAAGTTAGAAAACATGACAGCCTAAAACCAAAACTTGAGAAATAGGTCCTATATTGACAATCTAAAATGGATTATTTCTCATTTTTCATTGTTTACTGCCTGCTTCAGGTGAATTGTTTCTTAGTAAGTATGCTTTTGTTCTCAGTTTCTGTATTTAGTAATTTTTGGATTCAGCATATGGTAGAACAGATGACACGTTATTCTCTGTGTATGGGGGGGAACTATTTGATCACTTTTGCAGAATTTAAAATGGAGAATGACACCTTTGTCTCAGATGTACCTGCAATTCTCTTTTCCCTTTTTCCAGCAATGTAGTTGTAAACTCACTCAGCTGGATTAAATCTACTTGTGGCAGGACAACAAATTTTTTAATAACAAATTTGAAACCTAACCTTTGTCCTGAAGAAAGTTTATAAAATTGTAATAACCTCAGAACCTTTTCATTGCCCTATGATTCTAGAGCAAATCTAAAATACTGAATGCTTGACTATATGTTTATACAAAACCTTAATTTCATGTTACTTCCCTTCACTTCCATTTTCAGATACTATTGTCATCTCAGTACAGAACTTTTACGTAATTTTGTCTCTGGATTTTAAATGGAATGAAAGTATCCATTATAAGCTATTATCAGATTTCTAGAATTGGATTCTTATACTTAGGATCAACAAGTCTAGAAGGCTTTAGTAGTGTCCAGGAATTTTTCTGGTATTATTCTGTGGCACAGCAAGGGAATAAAACAGGGGGAGAGTAATGAAGGGAAGAGGAGTAGTGAAAGGTAGACAACAGTGAGGGAAATGTGAAAGAAAACTAGAGAATTAATAGAGAAAAGGATAAATGAAGTATTTGTTATAGTTAACTTGGGAAAATCAACATATCAAAAAAAGGTTCAAAGATGTCTAAGGTGAAATTATTACTGTTACGTATTTATATTTTTACTGATCTAAGATATAGATCTCATGGCATTTGTACTAGTTGCCCTTTTTTTGATGGATATTGGAGGGAAGGGTACTGTATGAAGACAAGTACGATTCCTTACAATGAGAGAAGATAGCTTATTGATTGTTATCCCATAATTATTAAAATGCTAATTATTTCATGAGCCTTACTCCTTATTTTTTTATCATATATCTATATTTATTTAAAACATAGCCATGTAAGTCCTTATCAAGTTTCTTGGGCAGGTTTTGTATCAAAGTCATGGTCATTTTGGAGAAGATCAGGACCTCTGCCCCAATTGAATTTTCCATTGAATTGGGGCTTCTCCATGGGGTAAATATGTATAGAGCATACTCCACACAACAAGAAGTTTGGATGTATTGTTTGGCTCTGTCTTTCTATGTAGACTGTCCAGTCTTGTCAACTGACCTGATAAGTGATTAAGAATGCATTTTCTCTAGACTAGAAGCAGGACAAGGGATTCTGAACCCCACTCTACTTGACCTTGTTCTCATGGTACATTTACCAAGATGAAGGCTGCCCCAAATTCCTTTTACTGCACAAGCCTCAAGAAAGAGAGAATCCAGTAGAGAGAAAAACGAGAACCTACTTCCCTGATTGACTGTGATACCCTTGTACACTTGTAGCTACACATCCTGAACTTGTAGCTTCTTGACACCTACAGTGAAATAAACTTTTTCTGTTTTTTTTCAAATAGCTTAGTTAATATTTAGTTCAATAGTTTAATAATTTTTATTTAGTTTAGGAAATGGTGGTTAGATACAGTAATCCCTACACAGTAGTAGTCACATTAGGAGTCACTTAGTTCCACAGGTATGAATTGCGAAATCTCTTTGCTTAAGGCTTTGAATAAGATGGAATCCTTGCCTATAGAATTTTTCAATTGACTGGAGGCTTCATCTATAACTTTCAATTATCTCATTTCTGATACAATTTTATAATTTACATCTTAGAGATATTTTTAAAGCAATAAAACAAACTTATCACATCCCACTTGGCTGATGATTTTTTTATTCATTTAATATATTCATTAAATGCTTAATAAATACCTTTTATGTGTTGAGTGCTATACTAGGCTCTTGGGGTAGAGCGTATGTACCTAAAGAACTGCTCTCAAGAAGCTTGTCTGGTGTTTCTCACTGACAGGTGAAATATAAAGTTAAAATAATATGTTAAAATGGAATCATTTATTGGGTTGGGATAAATAAAGGGAGTGATTATTTCTGCTCAGGAAATCACTTTTAGGAAGGAAATTAGAAATTCAGTTTTTAAAGGTGATTGGATATTTACCATGAAAGTAAGGAAAGGAAGATACTATAGGAGGATGTAATAATATCAAATAGCAAGGTAAATTTCTGGAATTCTGGATGTTTGCTGTCCCATGTAGATTGTGTGTAGAGTTGTCATCAGAGAGGAGATTAAGGATATAGGTAAGGGACACATTAAAGTGAGCTTTGGACTTGATCTTTTGTGAGCAGAAAATTATTGAAAAACCTTAAATTTATAATAACCTCATTGGACCACAAATATGGCTGTGGCTTTCTGGAGTAGTGTGAAAGTAATTGATGACCATTTTACTAGTCCAGATGTTATGTAATAAAGGTTTGACTTATGTTACTAGTGGAAGGAATAAAGGGTGGGAAAGAAAAAGAAACCATTTTAGAAGTAAGTTGCATATGGAAGTAAGGGAGGGAAAGGAAATTGGGTTGATCTGTAGGTTTTCTGGTGTGGTTTACTGGGTTGATAGTACTATGAATAGTTAAAGGAAGAAATAATGAAGATTTTATGAGACATATAAATTCTCATAATAGTTTCAGGCCATGATTTTGAGACACTTATAGTACTTCCAGAGTCAAAGACTAAGGGGGTGCACTTCTGTTTGAGTTAGGAGTACACAGACATAAGGTCTCAACTGGAGATGGAAATGTAGGACTTGTTTTATGGGTTTTAGAAAAAGATATAGGCAACCAAATGAGGGAACGCTAACAAGTCAATAACAAAAAGGCAAATAAATAGAAAAAGTGGGCAAAAACTTTGAAGAGGCACTTCTCAAAAGGTGATATGCAAATGGCCTATAAACATATAAAAATGGAGTGTGACTTCATTAGACATAGAAGTGCAAAGTGAAGCCACAGTGACATCACTCTCTGGGATGCCTCAAATGGAAAGGAAACAGACATTAGCAGGGGCTAATAAGTTTGTTTTGCAATTGTAACATTTGTTAGCTGTGGAGGTATTAGTTTATATTGGTTCCAACCATTTTTTGAAAACTCAAAATCTACTGCTCCTTCTTTATTCCTTCCTTTAACTATTCATAGTACTATCAACCCAGTAAACCACACCAGAAAACCTACAGATCAACCCAATTTCCTTTTCCTCCCTTACTTCTCATATGAAACCTACTTCTAAATTTGGATGAGTAGATGCATATATTGTGACTGGTGGTATACTGGTAATAAGTTTGTGTGCATGGTTGCATACATGTGCATGAGTATGAATGTGTGTGTGTGTGTGTGTGTGTGTGTGTGAAAGATCAAGAGAGTGCTGATAACTTCCTTCTATCTATGGCTAATGTCAAGCTGCCAATGGTTTAGCAAAATTCTTCAAGATTTGACAGTCAGAATAAATTGATTGCAGTCAACATAGTAATTCCTTTTCTAGTTATGTAGCCACAGAGATGCATAAATATTGACCCCAAGATATATTAAAATGTTTATAGCATTTGTACTGCCAAAACCAGGTAAAACTCCAACTATCTAGATAAATTGTTATTTCATATAATAAACTACAACTATGAGAACAATGAACTATATGGACTCTCACATAGTACTAGTAATGGATGTTAAAATCAGTTGAAACCAGACACAGAAGAATATATACTATATTTTTCAATGTATACAATGACAAATTAATCTTAAGCATTATGGGTCGGCATAGTTAGTTGTTAACCTTATTTGGAGTTGTGACCCAAATGTGGCTTAATAGGCCTTCTAGGGCCCATGTTCTTTCTCTTGATCTGGGTATTATTTACTTGATTGCATTTACCTTGTGAAAAAGTCATTGAGCTCTAACTTATGATTTGTACATTTTCCTGAATGTGTGTTTCATATCAAAATGCTACAAAAATGTTTACATAGGACACAGAGAGACTACGAACAGAGATGAAATTGCTTGGGATGTAGAATCCCGAGAAACACAAAAACCACACATACACACATTCCTGTTTCTTTCCGCAGGATCTCTTCTAGCTTTTCTACGAAAGCAATGCAGACAGTAAGAATAATGCTAAGAAAATTTTTGTTGGAGAGTGGGATTGCTCTTAAAGCATTTCTGCCAAATAGACTGATTCAAAGGGGACATTGGATTGAATTTATTCTTAGGTTTTGGAATATTAAAGAGTTGTGGGAAGAACTATCATGAGAAAGACTACCTGGAGGCAGGAGAGCTGCTAAATTCAAAGCAGCAACACTTCCTGGTGCATTGGAGCTGAGTAAATGCACTTTAAGTTTCTCTCTTAATGATATATTGAAATGATATACTTTACAAATTATTTGGTTTAAGGGGGAATGAGAGGAATTCCATTTTGACCATCTTTAAGAGCACTTGTGGAAGTGAGGAAGTACTTGCAATTAAACAGAAAAGTCTATTAACATAATATTAGGAAAGTGAGTATTTGTTCGTCTGCACTATTTCATTCTTATTTCTCTTTTCCAGAAATGGCAAGCAGTCTTTTGAAGTCATCTTCCATGACTGTAAAGACAAAATTACTACATCAAACAGGATTGTCACTTTATAGTACAGCTCATGGCTTCTATGAGGAAGAGTTTAAAAAAAAACTTCTGCAGTTTCCTGGAGGGTCTGTTGACCTTCTGAAGAAAGACAACGGCATTGGCATTCTTACTCTGAACAACCCAAGTAAAATGAATGCCTTCTCAGGTACTAGAGACTTTTCTTTTGCTAGATAAAAAATGATACTAAATCTAATCTGACATCACATGATTTTCATTCATAATTTGGTGATAGAATGTATGTATGCATTGTAGATTGTGAAAAAAAAGAACACAAAAAGTTTATATCACATGAACCAGTGACATTTTTCACTCATTGTAAATATTTTACATCATTTTTAAAAATTCACAAATATATCAACAGATTTTTTTTTTAAATAATAAATTTTATTTTTATATTTCCCATACAATTGCAGCCCCCCATTCTGACCCCAATCCCTCCCCTCCCGCCCCCGCCCCCCTAAAAGTGTCTCTGGTTCATAGTTTTTTGTTGATTTTGATTTTCACTTTCTTAAAGTTATTCATTTTCCTGGTCCCTTATTTAAGTTTTCTAGATTCCTGCTATGAGTGAGACCATCCAGTATTTTTCTTTTTCTTTTTGGCTTATTTCGCTGAGCATGATCCCTTCCAGCGCCATCCATGTTGCTGCAAATTGCATGTGTTTATCTTTTTTGATTGCTTATATCAGCAGATTTTAATAAAAAGGAAGCTCAGGTTAATATTGGTTATTTTTCTTTGAAATATAGCAAAGCTTTCAAAATTCCATTTGCTTGTGTTCAGCTAACATTATTGGAACACAAGGGAAAGAAGATTTCAAAGATTTTTTTTTATAAATAGAAAAACCTATAAATGAAAATAATTAAATTTTTTTTTCTGTGAATTGAAAGAAGACTAACAGTTTTTTTTTTTTTTTTAAGATTTATTTTATTTACACAAGAGCTGGGATACAGGCAGAGGCGCAGGAGGGTGAGCGGATTCACCAGAGACAGAGTGGGGAACAGAACAGGCAGACTGACTGAAATAAACTGCTGAGGGGAGCAGTGGGCGAGACAGCAGAGGTCTGCCACACCATGTGGGAATCTCCCTGGCTGGCTGGGAATCAAACCTGCGTTGCAGAGGCTGTAGACAGCTTCACGGCACTGAGCCACCAGGGAGGCCCAAGACTTAAGCATTTTTAACCATGTAATTTCAATAATCAGTGAATACTCTGTGTTTGCCTATTGGTGGACTCTTTCCTAACTCTTAGATACTGTTAAGAAACTTCCTTTAGGTTGTGTCTCGGGGAATAGGAAATCCAAGGAGAGGGAGAGAGGCAGGAATGACCATTCAGTGGAACAGTCAGAACAAAGCCAAGATTTGTCAGTTAATTTGGATTTCTTATGTGGGTGCAGTTAATGTTGCTCCCCCCAAAATCATAATTGTATCATAAAAGAATGCTGATCAGAGATCACCATAACAGATAAAATAATAATGAAAAAGCTTAAAATGTTGCCAGGATTACCAAATGTGAGACAGACACAAAGTGAGTACTTATTGTCAGAAAAATGACCCCAATAAATTGCTGGTTGCAAGATTGCCACAAACCTTCAGTTTGTAAAAAATGCAGTTTGTAAAAAACGTCTGTGAAGTGCAATAAAGTGAAATGCAATAAAGTATATGCCTGTATTAATTTGATGCCTAGTATTAAACATGAATAAAAGAAAAGTGCTTTGATTTGGGTAATGGTGTTTGGTTGGGGTGTGATGAATGAGCCCTACACAACCCTCAAGACCCTACTTTGAAAATCAGATTCTCTTTAAGTTTCCTTCCATTTTTTAGGTTTATTTTACAGAATCAAAAAGATTAACTACAGGTATAGAGTTTAAGATTAACTACTCCTATAGATTTCTCATATTCAAGGCCAGAATCCTTTTTTAAAAAAATATTAGGCATAAAGGAAGGTCCATATCTATCTATATAGGTTTATGCCTACACAACAGATGTGCTTTTGGTAAAAACTACTAGGCTACAAATCTTCTGAGAGCACGAATTACATTTCTAAAACTTATAGGGCATTCTCTATTATAGGGCATAATTAGCAATTAGGAAGCTGCATTAAGTCATTGGTGACAACATTAATTTAACATTTGTTGTAGATCCACTCCACTATGGTTATTTCAGAAAATGCCAAGAAAGTAGATCTTGGCATGTTGGGATTTATGTACCAAAGAAGTATACAGAGTTTAATGAGATCTATGTTGTAAGTTTTAGAACCTTGTGATATAGATTCTTCACCAATTTTAATCTTCCATTATGATCTTGATATTGGCATCTAGGGCAGAGGAAAGTATAAATGTTGAGAACATCATGATAGTCATTTATTTGCAAGATTGTCACAAACAATGTTTGCTTTTTAAATTTTCCTATTATAAAAGCTCTGGTAGATTTTTGTAATGATATCAAAGTAACCATTTAGTCTGTAAATCATAGACTTGGTTGTTAGCAGGTTTCTTATTGGAGGCCTGTGACCCACTTTTAAAGTTTGACTTGTACTTCTCCAAACACAGTGAGTCAACTGTGAAACAAGACAGTTCTTTTCCTTTCCTGATCTAACATGTCATGTTAGTGGGGGAGGAATGAGTAACGGTATTTTACTCATTATTTAAAATAAGTATTTGAGAACTTTTTATATTAATTTCCAAAGTGATAACTATAAGTAAATATTATTCCCATAAACAAAATAAAATAGTTTGTTAACTAAGATACTTGTATACTGTTGTGAAGTAAGGTCTGTATTTCATTTTTAACTCTAAGGAATAATTTTCTCCTACCACCATATCTCATATTATTCATTCCAATATTCCTAATCCTAGAACATGTGTGATATATCTCATTTTTCTACATAGTCATATACTTGTATAGTATCTTTTTTTTTAAAGGTTTTTTTTTTTAAAGATTTATTTATTCATGCACACAAGAGCTGGGGTACAGGCCAGAAATGCGGGGGGTGAGAGGATCCACCAGAGACAGAGTGGGGAACAGAAGAGGCAGACTGACTCAAATGCACTGCTGAGGGGAGCAGCGGGCGAGACAGGAGAGGTCTGCTTCGCCATGTGGGTTGCTCCCTGGCTGGCTGGGGATCGAACTTGTGCTGCGGAGGCTTCCAGTTGCTTCACAGTACAGTGCTTAACCCCTTGCGCCACCAGGGAGGCCCAAAACTTGTATAGTCTCTTAATTAAGATAGATAAGATAGAAATCACTAACAAGCTATACACTTTGAAAGTAGAGATTATCATGTATCTTTCTTTTGTGTCTACTCCACAGTATCAACACAATATGCATTTGATAGACATCCAGTAAATATTTTTAAAATATATGATCTAAGTGTTCTATACCTTGCAGTTTCTAAATTATTTGTATTTTTCCAGTATCTTATATGTTTGTGATTTCCCCTTCCCTCTCTGGCAGGTGTTATGATGCTACAACTTTTGGAAAAAGTGACTGAATTAGAAAATTGGACAGAGGGAAAAGGTCTCATTGTCCATGGAGCAAACAATACTTTCTCCTCAGGATCTGATCTAAAGGCTGTGAAAGAATTAGGAACTCCAGAGGCAAGTTTTGAATGAATTATAAACCAGATTCTATGTGTTTATCAACACCTATAATTGAAATATTTATATTTTACTTATGGTTATTATGATGACAGCTGTTCTTTAATAACTTCCAAGGATCAGACTTTTTATTTTGCTTCTTAAATGAAAGATTAAGGTACAATTATTGGGGGGAGGGTGGATTTGCTAAGAAAGGGCAGGATGATTAACAATAACCAAAGTCCATCATTAAAGTTAGCAAGAATTCCAATTCTTTAAGTGGAAGCTCTTTAGCACAACTCATAAGGAATTTTATGAGAGGTATATATATATAAAGTATCCAGCATAGCTTTGCCACATAATAGATTCCAATAAATGGTAGGAATTAAAAATTCGCTTGTGAATTACTCTGATAGAAAAGGAATCCTAATCATTGTTCATCATCAGTCCTCCAAGGACTTGGTTTTCTTGAATTCAGCCCTCCACCCAAATCTCCTTAGACAAAAGACTAAAGAAAAGGGAAGTACTCTCTGTTGCCATCCAATTATAGATGTAGGCAATATGTGGGTAATAATATATTAATGGTGTTTTATAACTCTCATACCACTGTATGATCTCTATTTGCGTAAGTATGTGAGGAAAGATTTCTTAATAAGTATGAGCACTGACTTTGATAGACTTGATTTTGAATGCTAGCTTTGACACTTTCTGGCCAAGTGATTGGACAATGCACTTAATCTTTCTAAGTCTTATTTTCCTAGTCTGTTAGTGAGGACATTCAAAATAATATATATGAATGCTATTATGGTATCTGAAAAAGGGAGTTATTATTTTTATTTCATAGACCTTGATACCAATAAGTATCATTCATTAGGTGAACCATAACTTGTAATATTGCTAGACTTAAATTTGTAGTGCAAGCAGTATGATCACTATACTTGAGATTTGAGTATATGGATTTTTGCCCAAGCTCTGCTAATAATTAACTATATAACATGCATGTCATTTGGTTATAATTTTTCATCTCTAGAAGGAAACTATTATTGGGCACTTTGCTTAGTTCATGAAAAACACTGTCTAGATAGAATGAGATAATAGATTGTTGTGAGTTTGATATAATGCAAATAAGAAAACATCCCTAAAAGGGGTGAGAGGTTTTTGCTTTCTTTGAGTTAGAAAGCTCTTTCTGTCTCTTTAGATCATACAATCAGTAAAATATGTTAACAAAGTAGAAATATGTTAATTGGTTCATATATAATATATATATATACACACACACTTCATATATGTTCCATTACAAAATTATCTCATATATATATAATGTAAATCATGTAGGAAAACATGTAGTTTTTATTCAGACTTCAGATAAGGGATCAGCTAATAAATTTATCCTTTTCCAGAACAGATAGTTTCCAAGTAATCTGTTCTTTTGGTGCCTGCAGTTGAGTAATATTGATATTTTGATCAATAGCTAAGAAATAGGGTGATGTGGACCCAGTGCTTAAATAGCACTGCAAGTGCCCATCACTTGTAATTATACACAGCTGCCAGAAAATATAAAAATATGATTTTTGAAATGTGTATGGTTAGAACCCAAGATTGGTACTTAAAATACTATTTTCTTGTCAAAGCACTTTCTTGAATATATGAATCTTTTACTGTACCTTTGTGAAATCTCTGTAGTTATAATGTAGGATATATAACATAAAGCTAATTAATTTGAGTAAAATTTTCTTTATAGATAATGTTAATAAATGGTAATATGTATAAAGTATTGGGTATATTTGTCACATGGTGGTTTTAAAATTGACAAGAAATGGAAGCAGCATATGTAAAGTTCCTGATAATTATTTGCAATTTTGTGTAGAATGAGAAATAACTATAAATATGTTTAAGACTGAAATTCAAAATGGCCTTGGGATTTCTAAGACTCATGTGTGTATGAGTTGCAGCTGCATGTCTAAATGCATCTACCGCTGAGATATTCTGAGATCCTTAATGTGACTTTAAGTTATAAATAGCCTTTCCCTCAATGAGGCTCTTCTTTTTTAATATACTTATGCCTTGTTATTGCAGATGTATCACTAGTATCTGATTATTTGGTGAATTTGCTTTTCTGAGGAGTGAGATAACTAGAATAGATGATGGTTATAGTAATCGGATTATATTCCCTTCTAAGTATTCTAAAGTACTTAAAAGTTAAATGACTTTGTGTAAAAAAAAATTTAAAAAGTTAATTATGTTGATGGTTTTGTCACTGTATTTTTTCAAAGTTTTAAAAAATAAACTTATCTAATATAAATAAAAGTAGAGTGACCAATATAGTAGATCCTTCATATACTCAATATTAACATGTTGATTGCTCTAGCTGCCATTATATTTGTATATCTATTGTTTTTTAAAAAGATTTATTTATGCATACAAGAGCTGGGGTACAGGCCAGAGGTGCAGGGGGTGAGAGGATTCACCAGAGACAGACTGGGGAACAGATCAGGCAGATTGACCGAAGTATACTGCTGAGGGGAGCAGCGGGTGAGTCAGGAGAGGTCTGCTGTGCCATGTGGGTAGCTCCCTGGCTGGCCAGGGATTGAACTCGTGCTACAGAGGCTGGAGTCAGCTTCATAGGTTGAGTCTTAACCCCTTGCGCCACCAGGAAGGCCCCTGTATATCTATTTTTTTTTTTTGAGGTAACTTTAGTTTACAACATTGTATATCATTTAGATGTATAAGATTTCCCCTTGTTGTTACCATACCGAATGCACTACCAAAGGACCCATAATCCTCCACCATAGTCTGTTGTGCCCCCTCCCCAATTTATTCTCCACTCCCCCCACCCCCCCCCCCCCCCCCCCCCCCCCCGCTTAGGTAGCCTCAGTTTTACAGTCAGATTTATAGGATCTGTAATGGTTTGGCTTTATCTGAACTTTTTTTTTTCCTCTGACTTGCTAGTTTCATTTTGATACCCTTTGTTTCACGGGCAGAAAAGAACTTCAAAAGTTCCTATTAGTTAATTATTAGTTCCGAGGGTCAGGAGATTGATTAGCATATTAATGTTAGCCCTGAAAATTTGCAGAACAGAGGAAATATAAAGTAGCAAAAAAATAATATAAGTATTAACTTAAGTGATAAGATTTGGATTTGATGTTACTGATGAGCTGTAGACTACAAGAAGCTTTTTGCCAGAAAGCAGAGAAAATCAAAATCCAGTTTTAAGCTTCAAGATGTAGAGAAATTAAGACCTGCTTATTGCAACAGTGGTATAGTAATGGCTCAAGGAAAGTCTGGCAATTTAGATACCTTTTTACTCTTACTCTAGCTTGAAAATAAAAGCCTCCTTTCCCTCTGGCCTCCTTTGTTACTTTTCTGCCAGTATATTGTCCCTGTTTCTTTATGGCTTAAATTTCTACAGTGTCCTCAAAGGTATTGTACGACTTATTTGTTTTCACTACTATTGACTCGTTCCACTTTAGTCAATTAATTTATAGATGATATTTTCATTTTTAAGCCCTTATAAACCTGGATTTTACAAAGATAAAGGAAGATGAGAAATAAGGAAAAGTCATTTAACAAATAGATTAATTAGGAACTTTTGAGGAGACTCTTTTGAGAGAATGTTGAAGACCAAATTACACTGGGTTGAAGAACATATGTGAGATTAAAAAAAAAAAGACGTAAGCTTGGACTACTTTAAGAAATTTAAGAAATTGCAATTTTTGTTGATAATGAAAGTCTCAAAAGTACAAAGGATCAAAGCTTAACATAATATCTTCACTCTTACCCCCCGTTTATTTCCCTAATATTTATTTTAGCAGATTATAGGTTGGGTTAATAGATTGGTGTTTCTTAGGCCTCTGTGTTCCGGGGGTATATGATTTGACTCCCAAACTAGTCTTTGCTAGTATCTCATGGAAAGCTGAGCTGAAGGAACCCTACAACAGCAACAGAATTAAATGCTACATCATTTGTATTTCAGAAACATGAGTTTTATTCATTTTTTAAAATATTTTATTTTATATAATTCTTACATCATTTTTCATCTTTGCACAATGTATGCATTTTCATTTTGGTTATATTCCCCATGCAATTGCACCCCCCCTTATTTTGACCCTAGTCCTTCCTCTCCCCTTCCCTCCCCCCACCCCGAAGTGTGTCTCTGGTTTATAGTTGCTTGTTGATTTTGATTTTTACTTTGTATTGATTAGTCTTTTTCCTGGTCTCTTATTTAAGTTTTCTAAATTCCTACTGTGAGTGAGACCATCCGGTATTTTTCTTTTTCTTTCTGACTTATTTCGCTGAGCATGATCCCTTCTAGCTCCATCCATGTTGCTGCAAACTGCATGTGTTTATCTTTCTTGATTGCTGAGTAATATTCCATTGTATATATGTACCACATCTTCTTGATCCAGTCATCTATTTTTGGGCATTTGGGTTGAGAAACATGAGTTTTAAATGAAAACCTTGCTTTAAAAAAGTTATGTGTATACTTGGCTTCATTTTCTAAATTCTGAATTTTTTAAATGTTATATAATACATTTATATTATACCTCTGTGTCTGTGCTTATTCTTATTTAAAGGATGGAATGGCCTTATGTATGTTCATGCAAAACGTCTTAACAAGACTTATGAGGTAATGTCTCTTTTTAAAATACAATTTCTAAAAAACCACCTTCTATTCTACTTTTTGCCATTAAAAATTAATAGCTGATGTTCAAATTATATTTGTTCTAATGATGAACTTTCTTTGTGCTATTAAGGACACTTATGTAATTGAATGTTGGTGAAATATAGACAAATATTAAAAAGTGAGATAAAAATTTAAGACATAGTTCTTTTCCCTAAAGAGCTTGTATTATTAGCTATATTTAGGTATAGCCATGAAGAAATTTACCTATTCATATTAGAGCAGAATAAAGACAGTGATCAAAGGACAACATATACAGTTAACCCAGTATTCAAAATTTGTAGGATGTATAGTGAAGTGGTTTATATCTGGAGAAGAGAGAAAAATAGCTATGGTTTATAGAAGGCTCTTAGCAGTTTTCTAAGGGAAGATGAATTTACTATGCAAGTAGATAAAGAAGAGAAGGGAAAAAATTCTTGGTCTACCACTATGTATTTGAGATTATAAATGATGACATTTGGACTGATTGCCTTCTTATGTCTATATTCTGAATGTAGATGACTTCAAAATTATAATAGCTAAGGAAATGTGTATTTATTTAGCATACTGATTAAACATCACTGTATTTTTTAAAGGATTTATTTATTTATGCATACAAGAGGGGGGTGAGAATATTCACCAGAGACAGAGTGGGAAGTAGAACAGGCAGATCGACTGATAAACACTGCTGAGGGGAAACAGGAGAGGTGTGCTGCGCCATGTGGGTCACCTCCCTGGCTGGGGATGGAACTGGTGCTGCCATGGCTGGGAATAGCTTCATAGTGCTGATACTTAGCCCCTTGCACTACCAGGGAGACCCCATGTCACAGTATTTTTGATGCTCTTCATCTCTGAGAATCTAGAAATGATAATGGAATCATATTATATCATATCATATATAATATATATCATATCCTATAATATCATATAATCATATAATATCATATCCTCTTAGATCCTGTTCATTTCCCTTGATGTTTTCTTAGAAAGTCTTAAGATTTTTTTAATGACTCTTTTTATTTGAAAGCAGGGTGTGTTAAGAAATCAATTACTTTAAACCTGCTGCTTTCCATTTTGGTTGAAACCTATAAAAAAATTCCATATTTTCAAAACATTTTGGTTTTACCATGTAATAGTCACACCTCCAAAGTGGAGCTTTGAAAACAAGAAAGGTGAAGGGCTTTATTTTTACCAGAGAACTCTTCCGTTATGTAGGATTAGACTGAGGATCATTTCAATGAGTAATGAAAAATGTTTTGAAAAGAACCTTCATAATTGCACCATTTTGGAGCATGGTTTACTGTATCACATTCCTCCCTTTGTAGATAGCCTAATTGTCTCACCCATAACCTGATATTAATAAAAATGGACTATGGCATCAGCTGCTGAGAAGTTCTAGGAGCTGTTAGTGATGCAAAAAAGCTCTATTTATTTGGAAGAAAGTTCCAGTGTGGTTATTGTTCAAAAAATATAATTCAAGGAAGCTTTTTAACAAACTTACATGACAGTATGATTATTGTATTTTTATTTCTCTGCTTTTTTTCCTTTCATGATGCATAGGCTCATGTTGCTATAAACATAGCTCAGCCATTTTGTTTCTGTTGCATCTTAAGTTTTTTAAAATAATGTTTGTAAATTAATGTGGAAATTAGAAATATTAACAATCACTTTTCCTTTATCCTTCAATACACAGACTTCCTTTAATAAGTGTTGCACTGGTTCAAGGTTGGGCATTGGGTGGAGGAGCAGAATTTACAACAGCATGTGATTTCAGGTAGGATGGAAATTGCATAATTTCTTGCACAAATATACCTTACATGTGTTCAAATTAATTCACCCAAATATAAATATCTTATATCATCTTAAATAAAATAATTAATTAGCACCTATGTCTTAGTCATTACAGTAGATTTTTCTCAGTCAACCAGTTATATAATAATTCTATCATTACTTTGTTACTAGGCATTTCAAAAAATTAGCAAAATCTGTAAGAGGGAATCCAGGGAAATACATTAAACTTGAAGATTCAACAGAATTATACAAAGAAAGCAAGTAGAAAATAAAAGAGAATGGAGAGCAACTGTATTGTAGTCCTCTTAATGATAAAAGAGATTTTCTTTTCTAGTTGATATATAATTGATCTATAATATTAATTTCAGGTGTACAACATGATTTTATGTTGCTGTACATTGTGGAATGATCATAATAAATCTAGTTAACATCTGTCACTGTACATATTTAAAAATTGCCTAAAGCCCCCTACCCAGCCCCTCTATGTCACAGCCCCTTCATTTCCACCTCAGGAAAACTTTACTCTGAATTGTATGGAAATTACTTTTTAACTTCCATTATCATTTTATAAGAAACATATTCTGTAATCAATCTTCTATTTTTTCTTTTTGTAAATTGCATTATATAAATAAATGCCTATATAAATGGCATTGTATTGTAATAGAAATAATGAGGAAAGATTCAGTAAGCTCATGAAAGTAGTAAAGTTTTATATTTTTCTTTTTATAATATATGACTCAAATTTCAATTTATCAATTGAATCATATACTTCATAGTCATATAAATAGAGGTTTTGAAATAATTTTGATGTGTAAGACAAATTGCAAGTATCCTCACTTCTACGGAAACTATCAGTATATTTCCTGATTTGTGAGGGTTCTTGTACACCATGAAAAATGACCTTTTAATAGGACAGTGCCCTCTGCTGTTGTCAATGCAGATTGCATTAGGATGCTGCTAAGAGGAGGAAGAGATTGGCTTTTTGGACAGTATAAGACTAAATATAAAATACGGTATGTTTGAAAGCATTAAATACATTCATCACTTTAGCCTGACATAAAACTGCTTATGCAATACATAATTTAAAAGTGTAATTATATACCATATATAATATATAAATATAGTTAAATATATAGTTTATATATAAAGAATTTTTTATATATAAAGAATATGCAAGTGTTCAGTATTATGCTTAAAAACATCTCTACATAAAAGTAAGTGCAAATTAAAACTTTATAGATGTTATCCGGAGACAGTGCATTCTCTGTCATAGAGTCTGGTGTTCATTTTTTTTTTTAAGTTTTTTTTTTATGCATACAAGAACTGGGGTGCAGACCAGAGGTGCAGGAGGTGAGAGGATTCACCAGAGACACAGTGGGGAGCAGAACAGGCAGATCTACTGAAATACACTGCTGAGGGGAGCAGCGGGCGAGGCAGGAGAGGTCTGCTGCGCCATGTGGGTCACCTCCAGGCAGGCTGGGAAATCAAACTCGTGCTGCAGTGGCTGGCAACAAGCTGATAGCGCTGCGCCACCAGGGAGGTCCCTGGTGTTCATCTTTTAAGTATGTTTTAGACTTTTGCATCATCCTTTATATTCTTTCCTGATCTGTGCTTAGATACAGTTAGTATTTAGAACAGAAGACAAAATGACAGAAAAAATAATCAGAGTGATTTTTAATACTGCTAATTTGCCTTGCTTTGTTGTTGTCTAAATGAAGGAGATGTCACCTGCCCTAGGGTCTCATAAAATATTTAGTTTTATTGGTTATGATATGTCTCAGAGTACCGCCCTCATCAGGTGTATCTGTAATATTCCATATATTCACAGAGCAGCTTCCAATGAAGATAATGTTCATTTGTAGACCAGCTTTTCTGGATGTGGTGTCTTCATTCATTAAACATATGTTTAACACCCATATTTGCCAGTCACTGTATTCAAGAAATTTTTATGTCTTGGGGTTTTTGTTTGTTTCATTCTTCTAATAACATAGTTTTATCACATTTACCATACTGTTGGTGCACAACTGACTGGAAATCTTCTTAAAAAATTGAATCTGATGATAGATTCATATATGTCTATAGACTCATACTGAAGAATTATCCTCCCATTCCATATTTTTTCAAGAGTTTGAGGTACTGAAATTCATAAAAGAGTTTTTCAGGATCTAAGGAGACAAATGTTTGTTCTCCTTATATTACTAATGTGATCAGTAATTTTAATTGAATCTTAATAGCAATTGAAATAGAAACCCCTTTCAGTCATGGTGTATGGTTTTCTTAATGCGGTATTGAAATCTATGTGATAATGTTTTTGTTTAGGATTTTTACTTTGACATTTGTGTGATCTTTTGCTGTGTAATAAGTCATGCCAAAACTTAACATCTCAAAACATAACACGTTTATTGTTTTCATTTATTATGAGACAGAACACCAACATTTATTATTTCTAGGGGTCAGAAATCCACATATGGCTTGGCTGAGTGCCTTTGGCTTAGGGTCTCTCATGAGGCTGTAATCAAGATGTCAGCCAAGACTCTACTGAGGGGAGATCCGGCTCTGAATCCCTCAGGTGGCTGTTGGCAGGCTCAGAAGCTCATTGACTGTTAGTGGGGGATATTGAATTTCTGGACACCTGGGTTTCAAGGTTTACTTATAACCTGGAAGCTTGCTTCTCACAAAGTGAGGATCTGGGAGAAAGTGGAAAGACAGTATACAAGATGAACACCCACAGTTTTTTGTGACCTAATCTTGCAAGTGACATGCCCTCTCTTCTGCTGTATTCTCTTTGCTAGATGGGAGTCACTAGGTCTAACCCAGATTCAATAGGAAAAGATTACATAAGAGTGTAAATACCAGGAAGCAGTGATGATTAGAGGTCATTTAGGAATCTGCCTACTACAATATTCATCAAAGATTTTAGGCTAATTTTATTTTTTGTGCTGTATTTATCAGATTTACATATCAATATTATCTTATTTCATTAAAAAAACCCAATATTTCCTTTATTTTTTAATTTCAGAAACAATCTAGGTGGTACCTCATGGTATCTAGAGATTTAGTGAAACTATCTGGGTCTGATACTTCTGTGCTTTTTTGATAAGTCTAATGACATCATACTTATTTTGACCTTTCAAGTTATTTTGATTTTGTTTGGTTGCCTGGAACTCCTGACTTTTCTCTGTCTTTAAAATGTAATACTTTTACTAGGATATGCCTCAAAATTCTTTAGAGTCAGTTTTCTGTGATACACAGTAGACCCTTTCAGTGTGTAAGTATTTGTTGTTTTAGTTCTAGTTATAAATATATTACATGTTTGCCTTTTTTTGTGGCTCTTTTTATAATCAGTTGTTATTTCCTGATTTTCTTTAATGCGCTTACTAAATTTTCATTCATACCTATTCTTGTCTTTATTATTTTTTCTGTCTTGAATTTAATCAACTCATTTTATCTTTACACTTTTTACTTTTTATCTCCACACTCTACACTTTTTATCTCCACACTACACTTTTTAAAATTTGGTCCAATTCTAATTATGCTTTTTGAATTTCTGAATAAAGATTTTCTTTTTTTTTTAAAGATTTATTTATTTATGCATACAAGAACTGGGGTATAGGCCAGAGGCATGGAGGGTGCGAGAATTCACCAGAGACAGAGTGGAGAACAGAACAGGCAGAATGACTGAAATACACTGCTGAGGGAAGCAGGGGGCTAGTCAGGAGAGGTCTGCTGCGCCATGTGGGTAGCTTCCTGGCCGGGGATGGAACTCGTGTTGCAGTGGCTGCGGATAGCCTTGTAGGTTGTGTCTTAACCCCTTGCACCACCAGGGAGGTCCTCAACATTTTCTTTTTTGATGTAACCATTCTTATTTGAAGATATTGAATTAATTTGGAGTGAGCATTACATTTTTTTCTTTAATTTCATGGTTATTCATTAGGTGAAATACTTGAACTCATATATTCTGCTTTTTCTTAGAGAATTGGCTCAGTATTTTCTATTTCTAAGTATTTTGTGGCTTGGATTCTTAATTAAGAGTGCCATTCCGGCAGTTTTGTTATTGAATGGATGACATTAGTAATGGTGATAGTAGTGGAAATGGAAGGAGTTGGGTTGAATTTTATAGTTTTAGTTTCTACAAAATCCATACATTTCCTCTTTTTTTTTTTCTTTCATTTTTGAAGGAAATCCCCATCTCTACTTCCTTGAGTCTGTTTCAAAAGCTGTGCTTCTTCAGAAGGCAGTGCTATGAACTACCTAATCCCAAAAATGTGCTCAGTATTTTAGACTAATGTTAGACGGTCTCATTTGGGGGTGATTTTGACTGTGTTTCCTTAGTCTTATATGCTCTCTGTTTTGCCTGCAAGTCTTAAGTGTCTTCTTTATCACTTGGGCCCATGGCTTGCAACAGCAAGCAGGAAATCTCTTTAATTAGTTGTTCATTACTATGCTTACAGACACTATACAGGATTCTGTCTCTGAGTAATGTTGTAGATGTAGATCATATCTGATTTTCTTTTACTGTTTGTTAAATTTTACATTAGGGAGGCTATGTGGGAGATTAGGACTCAATCAATAGCTATTATTCACCTGACTAATTCCTGAAATTTTCCTTTTTAAAATTGCTTCTCAGTCTTTGGGCTGAGATCAAGTGTAAAATTGACACAAATTTATCAGTGAAGTTTCCCAAATATTTAAAAATAATTAACATTAATCTTAAATTTTCACTGAACAGGAAAAGAAGTTATACTTCCTGACCTTTTTAATGAACATAGTATTTATTCCTAAAACTAAAAATGATCCTATTAGAAGGAAGATTATAGACCAGTCTTTTTGAACATAAATATAAAAACCACTGCCAGTATATTAACAACACTAATCTAATGGTAACAGTGTTAATACATCATGACCAAGAGGGTTTATTCTAAAAAATAAGGTTGCTTTAACATCAGAAAATCAAAGAGTAATGTGCCACATAAACAAAAAGAA